AATAATAAATTAATACATTTATATATTTATAAAAATATTTTAAATTGTTATTATATATTTTCGATTTTATTAAGTTATCCAAATCTAATTATTATTATTTTTATATTCTTTAAATATTTTTATTATTAATCAAATTTTGTGTCAGTGTGTTGCTGCTGTTTCCCTTAACGATGTCGCTGACGAGTGTCGCATTGCTCATGGACTTCGTCAGCGGGTTGTGGGTTGTGTTAATATTATTTGTTGCTGGGCTGGGTGTTGCTGTCGCTGCGTGAGTTTTGGCAGTATTTTTTGTTGCCGTTGTTGTTGTTGTTTTTTTCGTTTCGTTAAATGCGTGTAAATCAGTTTATAACACATTGTCAACAATTATCAAGTGTTGGCCATTGAAAAGGGCGAGTGTGAGAGAGCACTGAGCTTTTTTTTAAGGGTTTTTTCGACTGATTTGATGCGCTACGTGACTGTAAATGGGAGATGAGAAGGGTTAACTGGAGGCTGGGTTTATTGAAACAGAAGGTAGAGTTTATGAATATGTAATTAATCATTTTTATTAACTGTTAAACAACTTGGGATAATGTTTTCTAACTAAATAAACAATAGAGTTGATAAGCTTGTATAATTTTTGTGAAGAAAAAGATTTAGGTTTATATTTATTAAAGTAAATAAATATAATATAATATAATTTTTTTATTTTCAAATTTTATCTCAAAGAATCTCATTTTCTCCACCCTGTGCTCTTTCCTTACACCTTTGATGATCTCTCCAGATATTAATCTCTTGCAAATACCCTTACAAATAATATTCCCTTATTAAAGCGTACTTGGCAACCATTGAAGCTGAAAGTTTCCTCTTTCTAAATCCTGGTTTCCGGCTCATCACCCCGCTGTATTTTTCGCCTAACCACCATATGCTCGCGCAGCATGGTGGACACACAAAGAGTCCCCTGGTCCAGAGAGTAACCCCATACCCGACATTTCACCCTTCGCTGTACTCAAAGCAACCTCTAGGACACTCATTTGGCTGTTTATTTGCAAAACGAAGCGCAGGATAACAGCAACAGCAGGGACAACAGCAACAGCAACAAAAGTAACAAGTGTGTCCGAAATCCGGAACTGTCCAAAAGGTCCACGAACGTGATTTCAAACAAATTTGGCCAATTTGTTAGTTTCCCTGTGTTTCCCTTTCAAAAATCCCCCCTGGAAAATGCTTCAGAGCGGGGAAAACGAGAGGAAAAATGTATTTTATATTTGGAAAATTGTGTTTTTGAGAGTTTTTGGAAAAGAATATCAAAGAAATGGTCACATTGATTTTTTTTTTTGAGAATATATATAAGATAATAGAAAATAACAATATTAATTGTTGTTTTATTTTTGTTAAAATTTTTAGAATTATTTATTAAATATATTTTGTAATTGATTATCCACTTTATAATTTTATAAACATGAAATTCTCCTCTTAATAATTAAATTTTATATTTAATATACAACTGTTATAGATTTTTTTTAACTTAGTTAACACTCTCAAAACCAAATCAGATGTCGAGTGTTTGAACTGAGCAAAGGGTTAACCCTTTTGGCCTTTAATCGAGACAAATCCCAAATTGAAAATATTTGCATGGCTAAGCGACGGCGATTAAGGGCGGTGGGCAAGGATATCGAGGAAACAAAGAAGAATACAGAGACAAAGACAAGGCCAGAACGCAGCTTGAAGTCCACGAAACGAGATTAATGCGCGCTAAGCTAAGTCCTTCGCTCTTCGATCTATAATCCTTGCTTAACTCTTTCGAAACGGTAGCTGGTAGGGGTGTGGGCTTGACGTAGGTACTCGCAGGACATGGTCAGTGGAGGACAGTGACTGTAAACAGACCATATAAACAGCGGAAGCGACAAGCGGTGATCCTTTGGACGCCTTAACCCCTTCAAGTCCTTTCGAACTCCGCGACGACTGGCCGCAGGTAGCTGTCCCTTGTTTGCATGGCCCGCGCTGATCCGTTGGACAAACAAGCTAATCCTGCGGTTAAACTGCCATTGAGTCGTATCAAAATAAGGCATATAGTATATGTCCATACCCGGAAGGACTTGCGCGGGCGTGGCAACTTTACAGCCCATCGAGCGAACGGGTTGAGCTCGCAGAATGTGGCATGTCCTTAAAGGGTTAGGCTGCCATCGCGGATTTATCAAATACGTTCGCGTTCGGAACAAAACTAAATGCCTGCCATAGATCTGGCTGATTAGTAAAGTACTCTCGCCTCCTTTTGGGAAAGGGAATCATAAATCCCAATAAATCCCCCGGCATTCCGGCATCTGTAATCCCCTTTACGGTAGCGCGGAAATATCTGTCTCCTTTTTCGGCTTTTTGATCAATGACAAGTTGGTTTTCCATTTTTTTTGAGTCGCTTTTTCTGGTTTCTGTTTGTGTCCCCGGGTAATTACGATCTGTAGTTTCCGCCTGTGTTTGTTTTGAGTTTACTCGAAAGTATTTTCGAAAAGGATTTACCCTATTTGGCTTCTGAAATTTTCAGCGGAAAGATGAATCGAAATGGTGTAAACACAATTTTATTTTTATTTATTTGTTTAATCAACTTGCAGTTGGTTGATGGATGGTTTAAATGTTGAAAGTAATTACAAGGCTCAATCCTTAGAGTTATATTGATTATTCTTCAAGATCTAAGAGAGAGAAATTCAAAAGAGCGAAATAAGCAAAGTTCTGTTAAAGCTCTCTCTTTCGCTACTGCTAGTACATTGAGGGTAAAGCATGAACTAGATGCGAGAAGAAAAGCCATATTTATAGATAAATCTATATTGTATTACGCAGTCCAATTTCCTATCCCCACTATTTCTTAAATGTCATTTTATTAATTATTCAATTTTAATAAATAGCCCAAATAATTCCTTAGTGAACTTCACCATATCCTTATAATAATAACATAATCGATAAATTATTTGAAAAATGTCCTCCCGTACATCTCCATTATGTATTTAGAGCAAACATGTAATTTTATAAAAAAAGACCCCCTATAATTTCCAATCCCTGTTATTACTTTCTAAGTTGACCATACATTTAGCTTTGGTATTTTTCCAATCGCCCATCACAGTTTTTTTATATGCAAAGCAACCCAAAACAATTATCCAACAAATGATAAATAATTTAATTGAAATACTGAACAAACAAAGCGACTGAAAATATAATTATTTTTCATTGGGCGCCATTTTGTATTGGGGGGCAACGAGAGAAGTCTCCCCAAGAGACAGAGAGAGAGAAAGAGCAGAGCGCATGTCTCCACTTTGGGGCGGGCGTCCATCCAATCGTGTGGAGACCCACGAAGACCCACGAAACTTGATTCGGACACAGATACCACCGCAGACCTCAAACATGGCGTCGTCTTCGCTCGGTCTTGGGTCTTCGGGTTTTCTTTTTATATCTATGGTTTTCGTTCAGGTAAAACACGTTTTACCCCTCTCCACACACCTCTGGGCCATAGAGATATATTCTCCAATCGAACGGCCGACGTGAGCACGCCCCCAATTTTGTGAAAACAATTATTATGATTACAGCAATAATGATTTCGATTTCGATTCCGTTCGGTTGGGGGGAGTGGCTCTCTGGTTTCTATATAGTCTCTGGGGTTATTGTTGTGCCATGTGGCATGTGTTGTGTGTTGTGTGTTGTGTGTGTTGGGTTGTGGCTCATGCGAATGCCAGCAGCTGCTTTTATTCCACTTTTGCAGTTGTTCTCGAGAATTCTGTTTGGTCGGAAAATTGTGATTGCAACAAATTACAGTTAATTGTCAGATGGCCCGGAAAAGTTTTGTCTTTGAGGAAAATTGCATTGGCTGACATAAGCTTTGGGAAGAATTGTTTACCAGAGAAGTTTATAAATTGGTCAATTTTGAGAGATAATTGGAAGAAAAGTTTTTTATACCAATAATTTTATAGTTTTCTAAGTGAGAAAATATTATTAATAGGTATTTTAGTATTGTTTTATATTCTATGTATTTATTTTAGAATTTAAACCAATGAAATTTATTTTGAAATCTTTAGAAAGAGCAGTTTTTGAATTACAAAATAGTCCTTTATCATCAAGCATTTTTATGTTCAGTTTTCAATACCTGAAATAGCATATAACTTTTAACAAATATCTTTATTAATTAAAAATTAATTTTAAAATCAGAAACATAGTCCATAAAAATCAGTTATAATTTCTCTACAGCTGTTGAAAGAGATAAAACCTATAACTAAAGCGATTTGAAACCGTTCCTCAAAAGTCTTCCATAAATCCTTTAAAATCTCCAAAGCCCCGTTGATTGTAACGAATGATCTTAATGTTTTTTGTTTCTATTGGGAATAAAAATACATACAATCTGGACACACAAATCTACAACCATAACCATATCCCTAAAAACCCAACCCTGCAACCCCCTTTTCTCGTATCTTCTATGAGTTCCATAAGTTTGCAAACTCGCCGAAAAATTAACGAGGGCAAACGACGATAAAAACAACAACAACATAGGTACAAGATACAATTAATAATGGCAACTTTTGTGTGTGAGTGTGTGTGTTTGTGTGTTAAGAACAGCTGCCGACATAAAAGAGCAAAGCGAGAGGAAAGAGAAAAAAAAATATAAAAATAAGTGGGAACGGCGTATCAAAATGCAACCCACAATGCGGAAAAGGGTGACCCACTCACAATGGAATATGATGTATGTACATATACACACATATACATGTTATATTCATATGTGTGTGTGCCTGCGTCGGTGGCAATTAGTAACGAATGTGGAAAAAATAAATCAGAGTCGCGTAACGAGAGAGCAAAAGAGAGAACAGCTCTCGGTGGCAGAGAGAGTGCGACATGAACCATTCGTTCCACAAAGCTGATTGGTCGATTCACCCGAGAACCACCCCCGAATAACACCTCTGGAATTACAGACACAAACAAAAAAAATAAAAGAAAGAAAACCGGGCCTGCGTTTGCGATTGGGAATTTTACTGGGAACTCTCGCCTCTTTAGTCTTTCGTCTTTAGTCTACACTGAAAGCCCCTGAGCAACGGACGTGAGATCACACACACGAGAGGCTCGACAGCGAAAACGTGTATTTTGTGGGCCGTGTTGAGCGTCGGTAAAACTGAACGTAAAACTAACGTTATAAACTCGACGAAGAATAGCCAATTCGAATAAGAATAAGTGAAGTTGGTAAAAGAAAATTACTTATGATCACTAAGATTTCAAAGGGATTTTCTAAATTAAAACAACTCAAAATAAGAACAGTTTTAAAAAACAAAATAAAATTTAAAAGCCTGCCAAAATTAAATCATAAATTTGAAAATCAACTTAAATATAGAAACCGGCTACTGATGAAGGAATTGGCTCTCTACTGAAACAGTTGCTACAAAATCTTTAAAAGAAAATTCTAAAAAGAAAACTCTACAAAGAAAACTCCACAACTAAATCCTCAAAATTAAGTAAAGGCAATGAGGAGTCTCTGAAAGATAACTCTCCAACCATGGTGAAGATCGTCGAAGGTCTGCCGTCCAGCGAGATCAGTGCCCACCACATTCAGCAGCAGCATCACCTGCAGCACCATCCCTCCCATCATCCCCTGCCGCCTGCCACCCATCCCCATCATCCGCATCCGCTGCAGCAGCCGCCTTCCGTTGGCCTGAATCTCACCAACCTAATGAAGATGGCCAGGACGCCGCACTTGAAGTCCAGTTTCTCCATCAATGCCATACTCCCAGAGACCGTGGAGCATCACGATGAGGATGAGGAGGAAGGCGATGTCGATGGGGAGGAGGAGAAGAAAACCAATCTTAATAACAACAACAATAATCCCAGCACGCCCTGGGGCAGCGAGGATCCGGAGGCGGAAAGTGATCCCGAGTCGGATCTGGATGTCACCAGCATGTCGCCGGCCCCCGTCAATGCCGCCAATCCCAACGAGAGCGATGCCGAGGAAGTGGACGAGGAGGATGTGGAAGAGGACATCGAGTGTGACACCGATGGCGATGCTGAGAGCAAGTCCGGCGATGGCAAACCCGTCAAGGACAAGAAGGGCAACGAGAAGCCTCCGTATAGTTACAACGCCCTGATTATGATGGCCATCCGGCAGAGCCAGGAGAAGCGTCTGACCCTCAACGGGATCTACGAGTACATCATGACGAATCATCCGTACTACAGGGACAACAAGCAGGGCTGGCAGAACTCCATCAGGCACAATCTGAGTCTCAATAAGTGCTTTGTGAAGGTGCCGCGGCACTACGATGATCCCGGGAAGGGCAACTACTGGATGCTGGATCCTTCAGCGGAGGATGTCTTTATTGGTGGCTCCACCGGCAAGTTGCGAAGAAGAACTACGGCAGCTTCGAGGTCCAGATTGGCGGCCTTCAAGAGGTCCCTGATAGGACCCATGTTCCCGGGACTGGCTGCCTATCCTCAATTCGGACAGTTTCTGGCTTATCCCCCAACGGCGCCCAGTTTGCTGGCCAGCATGTATCAGCGCTATAATCCCTTTGCCCCCAAGAGCGGTCCTGGACACCATCCGGGCTTGCCGCCTCCACCGCCAGCACCTCATCCTCAGGGGGCAGGCGGCCCACCGCCGGGACCACCACCTCCACCCTTTGTGGCGCCTCCTTCGAGCAGCGAACTCTACCAGCGATTGCAGTACCAACAGCTGTTGCATCAACATGCGGCAGCCGCCGCTCTGGCGGCTCACCAGCGGCAGCTCTCGGTGGCAGCGGCGGCGGCGGCCACAGTCTCACCTCAGTCCCCGCTCCACCCAAGTCACCCGAGTCACCCGAGTCACCTGAGTCACCTGGGGCAGCAGCCACAAACCTCTCCAAGTCACCACCAAGGCGGCGGCGGAGGAGACTCCCCGGGACCCTCGCCACAGCCACTCATCAAGCCCGTCACTGTGGTCTCGCGGAACAGCTGAAGGAGCAGCCACTGTAGTCCCTAAGTATTCACTGTACATAGATATAGCCGCGACTGAGGCGCTAGACGCTTGTAAATAAAAGAAAAATAAGTGAAAAGAATTTAGCTGGATAAAATTGAAAGAAAATTCTTGTGGAAAACCTTTGCAGAGTTTAGGAAAAGTTGAAAGAATATTATAAAAACTGAAAATATAAGTTATTTAAATAAAAATATGATGAAAATAATATTGAAATTTAAAACTTCAAAAATAAAATGTTATTATTTTTGGGAAAGGCTTTTGGCTTTGATAATTTAATACCTTATTTCTTAATTAAAACTAAAACTGCATTTAAACTTTGCTAAACATTACAAATTTAATCCTTAAAATTAATTTAAGCTGTTTAAAAATTCTGTTAAATAAAAATCCTATTATATAAACCCCTAAAAATCAGAACACTGTTAAATTCTAACGTAAATCAAGCAAAAACTAATAAACAAAAGCATATTTGTACCCTTCCCAGCTACTTAATTAATGTCTGTCGTGTAGCAATCGCGCGTTAAACTATAAATCTCCCTCGATATGCCACCTTGAGAACGTTATAAAAAAGTGTATATACTATTTCCACTGAGAAACCAGCTGGAAAACATTACTTTGCAAAGGTTTTCCATGAGTCTGCTAACTTGTTGTCACATATCCCCGATATATATGTAATTAAAACGATTAAAACGATATTTAAGACTCTAAGCACTATTTAATTTATATTATTATTATTGTATATTTAGACACCGAAACGATGGAGCGATGAAAACAGAAAAAACCAATTAAAATTCTAATGAAATAAAAACCAAGAAAATATATGTAGAAAAAGTCGAAAATAAGTGACGTCTGCGGGGGAGCTGGCAAGTATGCGTCCGGCGGGCGTTAAATTGAACTGCAGTGGCCGCTAAATGAATCTGTTGTCGCGACAAACTTGTCGACGACAAACAGGAAGTCCTTAATAACTGGACACACACTCGAATGTACATATATAAATATGTATATAGCTAGCTATTCGAGTGTTGTAAAAGCAGCGCCAAAAGCCACTGCCAAGTGTCAAATCAAATCAAATTTTTAGCGCATGTCCCTCGCATGCCGCCAAAAATTAAAACAAAATCTAGGGGCATGCTGAGTTTGGTACTTGAAAAAATAGAATAAAGTTTTATAAAATAAAATATTAACTAATCAAAATAATAAGAACATTTTTAATATTGGTATGTTTTTTTTTGCAACATTTTAGAATATTGTAAATATTTATTCTTTCACATTTTTTCAGGTTAAAAAATGTCTAAACTGCTTAACTACTTAATTTATATTTATAATTTTTATTATTTTGTATTATTTTTTATTATTCCTAAACATAATTCGACTTTTTTTCACATTAAATACAAGTTTACCTACCTTTTTTCAGTGTACTAGTTATGGTTATGGCGCCAGGCCAGCACAGACACTCTATTTTATTAATATAATTTTTATTTTTTGCGAACTGCCTAATAAGTCCTCATTCCTCTTAGTCGGGCGCACCTTGACTGCAGCTCGATCTTCTGTTGGCGATGCACTTGCTCCCTCCCCAGGCCATGTCGATGATGGTGATTCATCGCCTGGAGGCGCTCAAAGGTTAATAAACTGCAAAGATTGTGCAACTGCAGCTCACGGGGCGTATGCGCGATATTCGCATCCATCTAGCTGACAATTGCCAGCTGACATTTCTCAGTTGCACATTTCAATTGAGGCGAAATAAAAAAAAAGAAAACGTATCTTAGATCCAGACTGGGAATGAGAATGAGATTATCCAATTCACTAAGTTAATACCTCTCGTATTTCACTCTTCACTCACTCGAAAAAAAAAACTGCATTTGTTGTTACAGTTTTCAATTGCGTTTCGCCTGCCATACTCAATTCCATTCAAGTTGCCAATTATGCGGCCATTATTCAATCAAAGTAAATTTATTTGTTTGTGTCTCTTTTCCACGTAAATCTCTCTCTCAGCTGCAGACGAAGACGAAGATTTCTTTGCCATTTCTTTCAATTTATTCGCCTTGCGCGACAAGGGAATTATCCTACAGACGGCTCTCGCATGATGTCACACAGAGGCATTTACTCAATTAACTTGTAAAGATCTCGAGGGGTTATTGCAGTGCTATATTGTGGGGTCTTAGGTTCAAGAAACTCTCTCTTTCGGTCTCGGTGGGCGAGAATATATATTGCTCTAAACTCTGATTTAGATTGAATGTGGCGCCAGTTATGTGTCGTGGGTTTTGTAATACTTACTGTGGTGGCATCTCTGTGGCAAAGTGCGAACTACAGTTGATTGGGTTATTAGACGACATGGACTTGGAGTTGATATATATGGGGTATAGATGATGTTGCAATGGAAAGTGGTTGTGATAATCAAGTTTTTTGATCAAAAAAATTAGTGGGGTTGGATTTATCAAAATTTGAAATATCGAATTTGATCGATTTCATAGTTAAAGAATCGATGCTATCGAAAATATAATGGTGTTTCATAAATATACTTTTAAAATAATATTTAAAAATTATTTTAAACTGAATTCTTCTTATTTATTATTCATTCTAATTTCTATAAATTCTTTTGTTATAGTAAAATATTTCTTATAATACGGTTCTCTTATATTATCCAGATGTTATTTACATTTTCTAAAACTACATTCTCCTGATCCTTGAGAGGGCAACCCCTCAAGCGTTACCCTAAACCAAACCCACTCATTAACACCTCCAGGTCCTTGAGCTACCCACTCAACCCCCAAATTTTTGGGTAGCCTTCTTGAAATAAAAAAGAAAGAAACCGAAAGGATGAAGCGGAGCACATCCAAGAGCAGTTGCCACTCGCTGACGCGGGACTCTGACAGGCCTGGGATCTTTTGTTTGACTTGTGGCATGGCTAAACTGTAATAATTGGATGAGGCGAGACCGACGATGATCATCGGCATAATGACGGTGGGGCAGGGGTTCCTCAGATGACGGCGACGATGATGATTATGATGTGCAACTGTGACTGGCATGAAGAAATCATTTTATTATTTTCCGAAATTATAGCGTGCAACATCGATACACAACAAGCCGCAACTAAAGCGGCAAACGTCACAGAAGAACAATGGTGGCAGAGAGCTGGACTTTAAGATGGAGGGATGGACTAATGACGATAATTGCACACCTCATATATACCGTATATGTATAGAGGAGTCGGCTCTATTCACTTTGGGCCATAAACACAGGCATTAACACCTGACCAGGCCAGCGACAAAAGTTTTTCATTATTTGCAGGAACACCAAGAAAAATTTCTATTAGAATATATAAGAAAACAATTTTAAAATGTTATTCAGTATTAAAAAAGGTTTATTTTTATGTGTGAAAACCCGCTTGGGAATTATAAGGTGTTCGAAATGATATACTTGAGCGGAAAAAGCACTTGGGAATTATAAGGCAGCTTTTCTCAAGGAATCCCTTGTTATTATTTTGTTTTCCTATTTTTTATTAGCAAAATATTATCGATAAAATTGATATTAAAAGATATCTTAAATAGATATTCTTACAAATTTTTCTGACTGCATCTAAAGGTGTTTTTCCGTGCATTGTTATGGTAAACAGTTGCCCAGCGTTTCCCCCCTTCGCTCCGATTTTCACTCCTTCGCCCGGACCCGTTCCGCTCCTATTTATAGTCGCAGCTTAATCTGGAGCGGGACAGCTGAGGCTGAAGCTGAGCGGGAACAATTGGACAATGGGATTGGAAATGGCTATATGTATATGGTAGAGGGAGTACAGAGTACTTTGTAATGCCGCCAGAGGCAAGGTGGTAGCCATCATAATGGGGCACTGGCATACGTACGTTGTTGGCCAAAAAGCGCGCAAGAGTTGCCAAACAAATTCTTTTGTTACTTAATTGTAACCAAATTATTTCCACACGCCGCCTCCTTATTTTTACCATAACCATTGTTCCCTGACTCTGTGTCTGCCATTGGGTGAATATACATATATATATTGTATGCTTTCCAAAAGGCGATCTTTATCGCCTCAAGTTTACAAATTTTAGTTCCTAATGAGCGATTTTAAGCATTGTAATTCATGACTTTCGGCGGTTACCGCTTTTTATGTGGTTTTATCTTGGAATTCTTTTTGTTTTTCGTTTTTTTACTCTTTGGGTCATGACGTTGAGTTGAGTTTTTTGTTGTTTTTTCTTTTTTTCTGGGAGGTGTGGTCGCTTTTGAGGGCGTGACTTTGATGTTTAAGCCCCCGTCTGGCTTTAATCGTGTTTAGGTGTTTTTGTAAATTGGAATGGCATGCGTGGTGCTAACTCATGTGATGCAGTTTTTTATTTTTTATTGCTATGATGGCGGTTAATAATTAATAAGTGCACAAAAAGGAGCCTTGGGGTTTATTATTGATTTAGAGATCCTTTCAAAAAATATTTGTTAAATATAAAAATGTTTTTTTGGAATTTTTCATATATCACAAATCTTGTATAATGAATTTTTATCACAAAAAATTTGTATACATTTATAAAGGATTTTTTAACTAGATTTGAAATGTATTTACAAATTAAAAATATTTTTTAAGCTTTTTATTTTCTCTTTTAATTTTTTAATTTCTTAATGTTGTTCCTTTTCACCCTTGAAAATTCCCTTAAACCCTGAAAATTAACCCATATAAATACATTTTAACGTAATCCCCTTTTTGTACTCTCTTAAACCCACACTTGAAGAAACAGATGATGATCTACTTTTCTATTGAAGTCTAAAGATATTAGACAACAATTGGATCGCTTGATATAATCTACTTTTTGCAACCGCAAACCTTTCTTTCCCCTGCAAAATATCGCTTTCACTCCTCCGCTGGATTATTATTGCCAAAAAAAAAGGAAAAAAATTGCAACTAGCTTGCATCCTTGTATCCTTTCTTTCCCCAGAGTTGCCCAATATTTTCCAACATATTTATCTGGGACATCTGCAGCAGAAAAGGTCAAGGGATTAGACGTGAAAGTAAACCTACACCTCGAGGAGATTCGCATTACCAATCATTTGGCATTGTTTCTGCCTCTCGGCAGCTGGACACGAGGAGTCCTTTTGTGGGGTAATACGAGGCGGACAAAAAACAGCAAGGATAATATTTTCATAGGCAAAACAATTGCGGTTGTGCAAGCAAAAAGCAAATGACTTTTTGGGAATGAGAGGCACTTGCAGCTGGCCCGTAATAT